GGGGGGGGGGGGGGGGGCGTTGAAGCATTTCAGTAGCCTTGTGAGGTATATATTGTGGTATGTTATAAGGATGTTACAATCTACTAGTAGAATATAGTCAGTATATCATAGTGTGTCGTAGCACCTTCTCATGTAGTCTTTAACCACCACGGTGACTAAGCGGCCTGGATATTATTGCTTTCGCTTCGCCTTGCCTTCGTTGCTGATCCTGCCTGGACGTGCTTGCGTTCATTTCGTCCATTTTTCGTTCTTATACCTGGATGTTTCGTTGCAAGATCTCTGCCTGGATGTTCTCCCGCTCATATCGCCTTACTTTCATGCATTGTTATGGTGGAGGTATGGAACGAAACATAGGAGTGTCTTGATCAGGTGTTGGAAATAACTTAACTGAATCAGGAGTTCCGTGTATGCCTTCCGCTGTTGCAGAGGACCCGTCGGCCATTGCGGCAGGGGCACCCGAGGCGGGGCTCGACCTTTTCCGAAGCCCCAAGCCGCGCTTGGCAAGCACTTTGCGCAAGGCTTCATAATTTTAAGGTTTAGCATCACAAGCATGGGTCAAGCTTCAACTTGGTCGCAGGCGCGTGTGCTTTGGCAGTGGGTCTTCAATTTGGAAAAAAAAACGGTACTTGAATCTCGACATGGATTGAAGACTGAGTGCTAGCAAGATGTTGCCCTTTTTGCATTCGCTGTTTGCGTGCAGCTGTGACTTTAGCATTAAGTCATTGAGCTCTAGGCACATGCCAGTCAGCCCGGCTGAGGATTCGTCCAACACCCAGTTATTCTCCACCCGTCTAGGCCTGAACTTGAACCCTGAAGCCCTAAGCCCTCAAACCACAAGCAGCAACGCCGGGAACGCTTCCACGTCTCAGTGCAGGAGAGCGCACCCTTCGTGCAGGGCAAGGTGGCGGTGTTCGCGGGGCTCATCACCGCCCTAGCGTCGTTCTTAGTTTTCTCGACGGACCATCAGAAAGCGCCCAATAGATACGCACGATACCACACCTCGATTCCTTGAAATGCGCAGTGCGCCGCGACTCGTTCTCGTTCACTCCCGCGCGCGCGCGAGCGCCCGCGCGCGCGCGCGCGCGCGCGCGCGTCATGCCGGCCATGGAATGCAGCAAGCTACGGAGCAGGCCACGGGGAAATGCCATCCAGGCCTGTCGTGGCAAGCTAATACGTGGCAGCCGACTCCTAAACACCTTCGAGCTCACGGCTATACGGGATGGCAAATGCCTGATACCATTATCACAGCCTGATGATGGGACTTATTATCATTCACCTTTTGCGACCTTAAGACTGATTCCTCAAGATGCCTGTTGACATCAAGACGAGACTTGAATTCTGAACCCTTGAACCCGAAACCCTCGAACCCTTAGTCGCACCACTCGTCAGCTCAGCGGGTGGGAAAAGCATAGTACCTTTCTGCTATTCTAGGTATTAAGGCCCCTATGTTCCTAATCAAGCTTTGAACATTGAGGAGGCCAAAAAAAAATCAGGTCGCATGCATAAACCCTTTCATCCGAAAGCCAAAGCCCTGAGCCCCTAAACCCCTAAAAACTCTACGCCCCAAACCCCAAAAACCTATCATAAACCCCGAAAACCCCCGAAACCCTCTCAGGCCTTCTTGGTTTCCTTGCTTTTGCCGAAGATTTCCACTCGGGTTCCATCAGCCCTGGTGGCGATCATCCTCGGCCGGGCCCTAATCTGGGGATGTTTCTGGGAGGTTTTGGGGTTCGCATAGGCCCCATGGTAGTTCCTTTTTGGGATTACTAGAGTTTTCATGGGTTTAGGATGGAGGCTTTGGGGGCTTACATGGGTTTACGTGGGTTTAGGGCTTAAGGTTTAGGGTTGAGGGTGGATGTTCCTGGGAGATTTTAGGGGTTTACATGGGTCTAGGGTTTAGAAGGGTTTAGGGGTTTGGGGTTCAGGGAGAAGGGTTTAGCAGCCCCTGCTCAAAAAAAAGGGGTTTACATGGGTTTATGGTTGAGGATCTTAGAGCTTGGGGTTTGCGGTTTAGGGTTCGGGGTAGACGTTTCTGGGGGGTTTTGACGGTGCTTTTAGGGTTTGAAAGTTTCGCATTGGAGTGTAGGATTTATGCCTTTACAGGTTATGGTTTTAGGGTGTGTACTGGTATACTTGGTTGTTTCGTGCTCAGGGATGTTTTCAATCAGGCTTTGGTTCAGGGTTCAGTTTACCTTCAACCAGTATCTACTGCTTAAGGTGTTATTAACTGTTAGACTGTATAGGGATCATAAGGATGCACATACGATTTTAGGGTTCGGACGATCAAGATCCAACCCTAAAACCCTAAAACCCTAAACCCCTAAGCAGCAGCAACGCAGTGGATTCGAAGTTCTTCGGCTCCAGGCACAGCCTTTGAGTGGGCCATCGCCCGCAGCGCTTTTGACACGCAAACGCCGATCGTCGGAGACATTGCCAGCCAGTGTGACTTCCCGATCCCATTCTGGTTCAACAGGCCTGGGAGTGTGCAGCTGAGAATCCAGCACAAGTCCATGGACATACACTGCTTTTGACCTCTGACCCTGCCAGTATCTACCATCCGCCGGCCTTCAGCAAGGACTTGGAGACTGGCGCAAGATAACTTACGATGGCATCCGGAAAATGACCACATATATACATATATACATATATGTTTAGAATACTCTTAGTAGAACAACCTTATCGGGTTCTTTTGCATCACACCGTATGGCGAGATTCGCATACCAAAGTCGCCGGAGGCACATCAAGTTGTAGGGGTACCGTCACTACGCAGCATTACGCAGCGAAAGAGAGCTCTAACTACGGACTCGCAAGTGTAGGGAAGAAGCTGGACTGCTTTCCAGGAGCTGCTGCTGAAGGTTTTGCCCCTCTCCGTGACGATGGCGGCCGGGAGACTCATGTGTTATGAGTATTTTGGAGGTCTCGTCATGTCGTATCTAGAGCTTCGACAGCAGTACCCAGAGCTTCTGCACGCGCTGCGGAACGTGAGGCCGTCGGGTTGCTGGAGTCCTTGATGCCTGGCTCCTCAGCTCCTTTGTCGAGCTCCGCTCCTGCTTCAATCCTGTAGCGAAGGACGCTCAACCTCATCGATGAGATCACGAAGACCAAGGGCAACCCCACTAGGAGCCCATGGTTGAACCTGTCACGCCTCACCTTTTTTCGGTGGGCACCGCAAGACTTTGCCCTGCCCCGCTTCGCCAGGGAGTGCCTCGGACAAGGAGCGGCTTTTGAAGCACCGGCCAGTGCTTTTCCTTGTTTTTTGGATGGAGAGCCGCTTCCATCCATTGGTCAGGACTCGCGAACGTGGTGCATTGCCGAGTAAAAGCAACGCAGTGATGAATAAGAGAGGTCCCTGCAGCCTGAACCCTAGACCAACATGTTGAGGTCTGTGGCTGCTTTGGTGGCATGGGCGGCTGCGCCATGATCGGCCAGTCCATGATCAACATCGGCTCAGGCAGGGCAGCAGACGTCGGAGGTGATTACAAATCAGGTGTTTCTTGCATGGTGGGGGGGGTGGTCCTTGGAGTTACAAGCATCCTATACTTAAGCTTCCAGGTGCGCGGTCACGCCTGAGCTCGTTCACAGCAGGACCTACGGCGGTAAAAGATGTAGAGCAACTTGCCACTGCCAGTGGCGATAGGAGCGCAAAGTTTCGTCCGGCTCCGTTTCACCAGATGAGCGCTTCGGTACGTTACTCCTCATAGGCCCGCCTGTTCTCCGCAAGGACTCTTTCTGCTGTTGATCGTCTTGGTAGCTTACCCCGCCATCAAGCAGATTCCCGTCTCCGCTCTGGTGGGGGCAACTCGGATGCGTCAATCGTTCGTCTATTCCACAGACGGGACAATCCCATTGCAGCATGAAGTCGAAAGTACCGTCCTCTTCCGAGGTGATGTTCTGCGTAGTTTTTCACACCTTCGAGTGGAGCTCCCTCAAGCTTATCTTCCTGGCTGCTCTGCCAATGAAAATGCGCCAGAGGCGTGGTGTGACGAGCGATGGTAGGTTGCCGACTGCACGACCACCACGCCTGAGCGCGCAGGTTTCTCAGTGCGAAAGCCAGCACTCAACAGATCAGGCATTCTTCCGCACTCATCGCCCGTGATGTTGCTTTAGTAGGGAGCCTGGCAAGAAAGCCCCTTTGCCACAGGCGCATGGATGCGCTGGTGATCGTGATCGCGGGCGGCCGAGCTGGAGGAATGCTGAAATTTCCAGAGACCCAATATCCTGTAACGAAATCAACATACCTGTAACCATACTTCTTAAAGAGGCCCTACTTTCCTAGGCCCTAGGCCCTATACAGCTTAAGGTGCAAAGCTCCTTGTTTTGGCTGCCTTAGCTCCCTCCGACTTCATGATGCCGCCTTTCGAGGTCACGGTCGTGACGCTCCTCACGGATTTGGCCACAGCGGTGGCTGAACCCTTAGAGCCCATGGGCCAGGTTTGGCAAGGAAGAGCAGAAAGGTGGGCTTTTGAGACCCAAAAACTCTAAACCCTAAACCTAAACCCTAACCCGAGGCCGTGGGCATGATCATCTCGCTCTTCAATTTTGCCTTGGAGACGTCGAACGCCATCCAGGTCGTCGCTCGCGAGAATGATCCGCGAGATGGCATCAAGGCACCTCGCTTGCACCGACGGCTTCCATCAGGGTAGTTGTCAAAATTATGGTCCCTTTTGGGGTACCCTAAATCATAGGTGCCGTATTATAATAAGGACCCAAAAAGGAAGCCATAATTTTGACAACCACCCATCAGGACTTGCCACAACCGCGAAAGCAAGTCTAGTCAGCAGTCAAAGGAACCCTCCGTTTACAGTGCTCGTAGCTGCTATAGCAGCCGGTTTCAGCAAGCTGCTAAACCAGAAGACTGGGTCTCGGCGCGTCCGAAGATTGATTTGCGTTGCGTGAAAGCCAGGCCAAGACCGTTTTCTCCGACCGACCCCAACTATTGCTAATTAGTTTGTCGCGCGCAGCCTGGCTTTCCCAGACTGCGAGGGGGAGAAAGGGGCAAGGGCGCGGATTGAGCCTCCAAGGAGGCCTTCACCCCACCTCGCTGCAGGTCAAGCGGACCGCGCTGCACTCTCAGCCGCAGTCTTTGAGAAGAACAACTTCTCTTCCTGGCAGATGGACTCGGGCCACTCCCCGATCTGCGGGACCATCGTGCGCGTGGTCGCACAGAGGAGGCAGTGCGCCTTCCCGGGTCGATGCCCGAAGGCATCTCTCAGTCTTTTCCCGCAGAGGTTGCACAGGGGTGGCTGCGCAATGCCTTTGGACGGGAGGGCTGCAGCTCGACCGCTGCGTCTGCAGGCGGCTCGACCGCTTCGGGAGTCATGGGCACGGGCAGCTTGCAGCCTGCGTGTCCGGCAACTTCAGTCGGTAAACGGCAGCAGGCAGAAAGCCACAACCCTGCGAAATTCATAGGGAGCAAAAAGAGAAATACTGAGACATTGGCCCGGCAAGATGTCTGGAGACTTTTAAAGACATCGGTCAAATCCCGGTGTCCACGGCTATAGTTTCAACATGGCGCCGCACCTGCCACCAACAACGATTTCACCCCGACAGGTTGCTTCAACATGTCGCTGCAACTTGCACCAACAACGATTTTGCCCCAATCCTGGCTAGCAGGTTTGGTTGCTTCAACATGGCGCCGCACGCACCTTTCACCAACAACGATTTTACCCCATGCAATCCTGGCTGACAGGTTGCTTCAACGTGCCGCCGCACCCCTCGTCAACAACAATTCTACCCCCATCCTGGCTGACAAGTTGCTTCAACATGTCGCTGCAACTTTCACCAACAACGATTTTACCCCATGCAATCCTGGCTGACAGGTTGCTTCAACGTGGCGCCGCACTTCTCACCAACAACAATTTTACCCCAATCCTGGCTGACAGGTTGCTTCAACATGTCGCTGCAACTTTCACCAACAACGATTTTACCCCATGCAATCCTGGCTGACAGGCTTCTTCAACGTGCCGCCGCACCCCTCGTCAACAACAATTCTACCCCCATCCTGGCTGACAAGTTGCTTCAACATGTCGCTGCAACTTTCACCAACAACGATTTTGCCCCAATCCTGGCTAACAGGTTTGGTTGCATCAACGGGGCGCCGCACCTCTCACCAACAACGATGTTGCCCAAATCCTGGCTGACAGGTTGCTTCAACGCGCCGCCGCACCCCTCGTCAACAACAATTCTACCCCCATCCTGGCTGAGCTGCAGCTTTCACCAACAACGATTTTGCCCCAATCCCGGCTAACAGGTTTGGTTGCTTCAACGGGGCGCCGCACCTCTCACCAAGAACGATTTTGCCCAAATCCTGGCTGACAGGTTGCTTCAACGTGCCGCCGCACCCCTCGTCAACAACAATTCTACCCCCATCCTGGCTGACAAGTTGCTTCAACATGTCGCTGCAGCTTTCACCAACAACGATTTTGCCCCAATCCTGGCTAACAGGTTTGGTTGCTTCAACATGGCGCCGCACGCACCTCTCACCAACAACGATTTTACCCCATGCAATCCTGGCTGACAGGTTGCTTCAACGTGGCGCCGCACTTCTCACCAACAACAAGTTTACCCCAATCCTGGCTGACAGGTTGCTTCAACATGACGCTGCAACTTTCACCAACAACGATTTTATCCCAATCCTGGCTGACGGGTTTGGTTGCTTCAACGTGGCGCCGCATCTCTCACAAACAACGATTTTGCCCCAATGCTGGCTGACAAGTTGCTTCAACATGGCGCCGCACCTCTCACCAACAACAATTTTACCCCAATCGGCCCCAATCCTGGCTGACAGGTTGGGTTGCCTCAACATGGCGCGGCACCTCCCACCAACAACGACTTTACCCCAATCCTGGCTGGCAGGTGTGGTTGCTTCAACATGGCGCCGCACCTCTCACCAACAACGATTTTACCCCAATCCTGGCTGACAGGTTTGGTTGTTTCAACATGGCGCCGCGCCTTCCACCACCAAAGATTTTACCCCAATCCTGGCTGACAGGTTTGGTTGCTTCAGCATGACGCGGCACCTCCCAGCAACAACGACTTTACCCCAATCCCGGCTGACAGGTTTGGTCGCTTCAACATGGCGCCACACATCACACCAACAACGACTTTACCCCAATCCTGGCTGACAGGTTTGTTTGCCTCAACCATGGCGCCGCATTTCCCACCAACAGCGAATCTACGGCAATCATGGCTGACAGGTTTGGTTGCTTCAGCACGGCGCCGCACCTCCCACCAACAACGATTGTACCCCAATCATGGCCGACTGGTTTGGCTTTCCGGCCGAGGCATCAAACACATGCACCAAACAATCCCCAACAAAAGAATGCAAGTGCCATAGTTTTTGGGACAAGACGATTGGAACAACAATTTGTCTTCGCTACCGCGGGTAAAAAGAAGGGGGCCTTATACTGTTCCCTTGGCAAGACGAGTTGAACAAAAAACTTGCCAGCGCCAGCGCTTGGCGATCTGCTTCCGTGGCACGGAAAACTACCTGGGAAACATCGCGAGCTGAGGCTCCGAAGAGCAATTTGAAACAACAATTCGGAAGGCTGCAGTGGGAAGCCATGCTAGCAAGGAACAAAAGGAGGCACGGATAATTCCTACAACGTTTTCCAGGCACAAATTGCCCGGTACCTCAAGGGTCCGATCAAACACACAAACCCTAAACCCTAAACCCTAAACCGTGGGTTTAGGGTTTAGGGTTTAGGGTTTAGGGTTTAGGGTTTAGGGTTCGGCCAGTTTCCAGAAACACAAACGCGCGAAACCCCCATGACCGTTTTCTACCCCGACCGCAAGCATGATCAACCGTGCAATTGTTCAAAAACGCTTTGTTTCACCGGCTCCCAAATACGCGAAACACCGAGGACAGTTTCTTAGATCGATCCAATATACGGGATCAAAAATGCCACCATTCTTGGAATGGGTTTTGCCAAAAGCACAAGACTGTCTTGGCTTTTCTCCGACGGAACAAAAACACACCTAAAACACAACCGTCCGACCGGCCGCAAGCACGATCAACAAATCAAGTAATTATTCTGTAGAGTACCGCGTAGTTTCTCGGACCAGCTGCCAGATGCAAAAAGAGAGAGAGAGAGAGAGACAGAGAGAGAGAGAGACGGGCGCTAACGCGCGCGGTGTAGGGGGAAACCCCTGCACCACAGCCCTGAGGAAAGAAAAGAGAGAGAGACGGTTTACATTGAAAGGCTTGCCCGTTTGGCCTGTATTCTTTCTGCCGTCGCGCATCAGGTATATGATGTCCATGGCACGCTCTTCTTCGGCAGTACATCGCACTTCCTGGAGCTTTTCAACGAGGAGCCAGCCCCTAGTATCTTCAGGAGCCTGTTGTTGAATTTCCAGAACTTCCTGCCGTAATGATAACAAAAAAACAGTTGCTACATTATTGCTACACTTACTACCGTCCAGGAACCCTAAACCTTACCCTAAGGCAGTGATGATGCGCTCGAGTCTGTACAAGTTGGACACAAGAGACCTCGTCTGGCGGAGTCCTAGTTGCGAGAGCGTAAACCCAAGCCCCTGAAACCTAAACCCGAAACCCCTGAACCCCTAAACCCTAAACCCCTAAACCCTAAACCCCTAACCCCTAAAACCCTAAACCCTATAGTCCCTAAAGTAAAGGTTCCTGAACAAAAAGAGCCGGGCCGCGGTGGTCAGGACAAAGATCCCGCAGACGTGCGCCAGGGCCTTGGCTCCGGAAAATCGGGGGCTCCTTTAAAGGGCTCCTTAAAGGGTTCTATAAGGGCTACTATGAGGGTTTAGGGTTTACATGGGGGTTTAGGGGTTCAGGGGCGGCTGAGTCCGCGACAGAGAGAGAGGGGTTTAGGGGTTTAGGGGATTCAGGGCTTAGTGCACTGCAGTCCCTGCTCAAAAAAAAGGGGTTTAGGGCAGTCGCAATAGGCCTGAATGCAAAAAAGGGGTTTAGGGGTTTAGGGTTTAGGAGGAGCATTGGTTTTAGAGCTTAGGTTCAGATGTTCAGGGCCTGCCGTCGGGCAAGATTGCAAGACAACTTTGCCCATGTAATGGTTTAAGCCGACGATGGCTGTGCCTGAGCTTGCAGCGTCGCAGTGCGCAACACGTTCTCAGCGGCCGAAAATGGGGAAAGCTAAGCCGAGATATGTTTCACTGTGTTCTGTGCTCTTCTTTCCCAGCCGATATGAGATTTTGGAACTTTCCTGGTTCCGAGATGATCTTCTGCCAGGTCTGGTGTTCGAGACCGGGCATGTGGCCGATTTCTCTGCGGTGCAGGCGCAAACCTGGTTCTGATGATGGGTTTAGGGTTTAGGGTTTAGGGTTTAGGTTTGGTGTACTAGTGTAGATCCCAGTAAACCCCGTATGAAACCCTGCAAAACCCTTCGGAAACCCTAGAAATCCTGGTAAACTCATGGGAATCCCATTCTCCATTCCTGATTCAATTGGGGACTTGAGAAACCTTACAACGAAGCCACAATGTCTATCAAGATCCTCTACTTCCAGGTGTTTCTCCCTATCAGCATTGGGTTTGGGATTCAAGTTCCCTCAATCCTCCACCCTAAACCCTAAAACCTAAACCCTAAACCCTAAAACCTAAACCCTAAACCCTAAAAAGCAAAGGCTCAAGGGGGGCCTCTTCTGTCTTTAGGCGCTGAACAAGCTCGGCGAGCGATACGGCCAAGAGCTCAGCAAGAGCTCAAGCGCTCCGGGAGTCCAGAACAGTAAATTCTGGAGTTTCCAAAAATTAGGGTTTAGGGTTTAGGGTTTAGAGCAGCAGTGGTTCAAAATGGTTCATTCCGAAAACTAGGGGTACCTATTTTTGGGTCCTTATAAAAAGGGTCCTTCTATTTAGGGTACTATATTAGGGTCCCCTATTTTCGGAAACTCCCATTCTGGTTTCGGGGGTTTGAAGAAACTTGATACTATAGGGGCCTTAATAAATGCCTATACTNNCCTTATTATAATTACAGTATAACATACCTCAAAGCCCTATTCTGATTATTAAGGCCCATACAGTACCTCCTGGTACTTCTTTTAGGAGTTGCCAAATGAGACTCTCCAAATGTCTTTTTTTCGTATGGCCACTAGAATTGGGCCTGGGTTGCTTATGTAAAATGGCCCTAGAAACGCTGAAAGCCTCAACCCGAAACCGGCATACTCCAGTTCTTAAACCCATAGCCTTTAAACCCCCAAAACCACCCTGCTACCGTTTCGTCCTTGCCATGCGGGAGGAGACAAACCTGACTGAAATGTCCAATCCTTTTCCCTAGAAGCCCTGGCCCCACCGAGGATCGGTGAAGAAGCGGCTGACACTCCAGCAGCTCATGTGCGCCAGCCAGCACACCTCAAACCCTCAAACCCTCAATCAATACTAGTGAGCCCTAGTTCCTTCCAATGACATCATGAGAAGAAGAGCCATACTCGATACTCGTAGTAGTAGTAGTAGTAGTAGTAGTAGTAGTAGTAGTAGTGATGTTATCGCCCGGCTCCAAGCACAGTGGGCCTGTGCAGGCCGAAGACCCACCGAGTCCTCTCCAGGGCCGGGTGGCCTAAAGGGCCCGGGAGATCAAGTCAGGGCAGCAGCTTCGGGTTTAAGGTTTAGGGCTGAGGAGAGAGGAGAAAGCAGGCAATGCTGGCAGTCATCAAGTCCGGTTTCAAAAGGGTTGAGGAGAGAGAGAATGAGAGTGAGAGCGGCTTGAGGCCGAGGGCTTGCTCGTCGAAGAGATCACTTTGTCCTTAGATGATGAGGAGGCGGGTTCACTTTGCCATGCCTTGTCCAGAAGGCTGCCATTTGGTCTTGAAGCCACCCTAAACCCTAAACCCTAAACCCTAAACCCCTAAACCCTAAACCCTAAATCCCTAAACCCCTAAACCCCCAAACCCCTAAACCCCTAAACGCTA